ATGCAGAAGTCGCTTTCGAAGGACTTCCGGTCTTGCTCAATAAGCAAGGACATCTCACTGTCGCTGGAGCCCAAAGCTCACCGCTCTATTGGTGTAAGACCGACAGTAGCTCAGCTCCATTCCATTCCAAACACTTTCTTCACCCCGAGTTCTACGAAGTCACGACAGTGGATCGAATGATCGAAGCTGGTGTCAATGTTTCGCTCTTTGATGCAACAGCTGTCGGTTTACTCTTGAACAAGAAGTTTACAGAAAAATCGACCGAACAGCATTCGAGAGAGGTTAGCCAGTGGATAATGGACTTTTGGAAGTCGTTCAATCAGTTGCCGAAGGAGATTGAAACAGCTGTATTCGACCAGTTGCCGTTGATACCGACCCATAAGCCTCTATCATTCCTTTCGATGAAGCATTGTCTGGCAGCCGAGGAGCAGGTTCTAGCGAAACCACCGAAAGCATTCAAGTCCTTGGTTCAGACACTGGGCATCGTGGTCTTTATGAAGCCGGTCCCTTTGAAGGATCAGCTCCCCTCTTACTCGTTCGCCAGGATGCTCAAATGTCTCAAATCACATATCGCACAGCTCCCGACTCTCTCGACCGCCAATCAGCAGAAACTGGCGAAACTGATCCGAGAGCAGGTGCGAAAAGAGGACGAGATTTCGCAGGAGTCCAAGGACATATTGTGCGAGCTTCCAATTTGGAGTGCTTTCATCGATTCCCGGGCTGAACTCGTTTCCTTGCTGGAGGCCCAGGAGAAGGAGTTTATCACGCTTCCAAAAGTCCCAAAGCTTTCGGTCCTCGCCAAATTCTTCCGCTCGGACGTGATTGTCTTGGAGAGTGACGCCACAATGACCCTCGTGGACAATGCAGAATCGAGCCTTCCTCAGATTGTAAGGGGTCTGGATCTCCCGGTGATTCTTCCTCAGGACCAGTTGACCGACTTTGCTCTTCTCGTCCGGACCATGCTCCTTACCGACAGCATGGACCTTCCAGGCAACAGCTTTAAAGTTCCGAATACGGCGCTCAAGCTTGAATTCCTTGATCAATTATACGACCACTCTATCCCTTTGTTTGCAGAATGCCTTCCTCCGAGTTCGTTCATTCATCCCACAATGCGTGAGCTGAGCCCAAGACTCCGCCGTTACGGGCTCATTCACCGAATCAGTTACCAATGTTTCCTCGAATGTGCTTACAGTATTCACAATGCTGTCAATCGAGCCCTCACTCAGAATCCCGTCATACCGGTGGAATTGGTCGACCGAGCCAAAAAGGTCTATCAGTGCTACAATCGAGAGCTGCCTAATTTGCTTGGCGAGCAATGGGAATGGGACGCACTGAAGAATCTATCCTTCATTCCTCGTAATGTTTTACGATGTCGACGGAATCGTACGACCTATGATGCTGAAGTCTTCGGTGGCGCCCTTCCTGCGATTCTTCCTCCGTGCTTGCTCTTGCGAGAATCTCTCGAAAGCATTGCATGGACCCAGCGCGGTCTGTTTCAGACTGGATTGGAGTTTCAGCCCTCAGATAGTCTCACTACTGTCAACCCAAGTTTCGGTGTTCCAGAGCCGGAGGAAGTGGTACGTCTTTTGATCTTCGACATAGACGATATGCTCATCTTGTTTCTTTTCAGGTCAAACATCTTCGAGAGTTGATTCTGAACGTGGCGCCAGTACACAATCGAAACAGAAGCTTGCTGGTAGATATCCGCGCCACGTATCGCTGGCTCAGCGAGCTTCCCGACGCGGGAGCTCGTCTAGCCGGGCTTATCAACAGCGACGAGACTCTCTTTTTGAATATCGATGATCCTGAAAGGGATGCTTGGACGTTCTGTCGAGCATCGCAAATCGTTCGAGATCTTCCTTATGATCGTCCAGGTCACGTCCGAGTCCGGGATTTCCTAACGGAATTCTGGCCGCTCTTGGCAGCAGCCGGAGCCAAGCGAATGACTGCAGCCCAGTACGTCGAGGTGGAAGCTGACACGATGGATGAGGAAACTCCTGGAATCGAGGCACAGTTTAATGATCTGCGAAAAGCAGGACGGATGACGGATATTGTTCTTTTACCAGCAGAGACGGAAGGACAGGATATGAGCCGACTTCGGGCACATTCTGTCTTTCTTGCGGTGACGATACCGCATTTGCGGGATGCTTTCACGGGAGGATGGAGACAGGCGGGTGACAATTACCTGTTCGAAGGTTCGTATTCATCGGCTTGTGCGATCTTGGGCAAGTGTCTCTTCGTTTCTCGCTTGGAAATCAAGTACTGAACTTCACTTGTAGACTTTGTTTACACGGGAGAGTTTCACGTCGACAAACCTGCCAACAGTGAAGATGCCATGTTGGCTCTGCACGATCTCCTCGACCTTCTCGAAGTGACGGATCGATGGAACCTGGAAGGGCTTAAGCGTCGGGTGCAGAAGATCATTGTGGAGGACCTGGAGCTTATATCTGCAGACACGTATCGAATGAGTAAGTTTTTTCGCTGATCCTTTCTAGAACCCAACTCATTCCAAACTAGTCTTGGACTCTGCTACCAAGTACAACGCTCCAGCGTTGAAGTTGACTTGCGAGAATTTCGCAACAGCGAATCAAGAGCTCCTCGCGCCAGACGACGCAATGGATATTTAATGGTGCTTCACTGTATCGGAGGGCGTTCACGTAGATTTCACTATCTAAAGCTAATATTGGCCGGCTTAGAGAGGGCAAACTGTTCCAGCCTCTTTGCACCTGTTGTAAAGTATGTTCATGATTCGAATGTCAGAGGAATTGGGAAGACACCCACGTTCCGCCAATGCCAGCGATGATTGGGCCACAGCACTGGAAGCCTGTCGAGCCTGAAAGTAGCTTGAATTCTGGGTATTCCTGGGTTTATATGATATAAGTACTTACAGACCTATCGACCTTGAATCAGTTTTAACCCATTAGACTCGAGAGAAATTACTCACCAGACCATCGACGTCGCCTATGAGGTCAAAATAAGTCGCGACAAGGAGACGATGTGAATCGGAGGCTTACAGTGGACGACCTGTGCCGAAGTCGCAGTGACAAAGAGAGTAAGGATGAAAGTAGAGACGAGTTTCAAGCTGTACATTTTCCGAAATATGTGAAATTACCTTCCGAACCGCGACCTTTTATACTGTCTAGTCCGCAGCAGCAACCTATTTTCAGAACTAGGAGAGATATTTACCAGACACAAGACCGATAATGATCAGGTATGAAACATGAATTTGAAAGGGCAGGATGCGGAATGAGGTCAAAATGAGGTACCTGATCTCGTAAATACGTTGGGTCTCGACCTAAAAGTTGCACCAGGTTGCACCTGCCCGTGTTTCATGGTTTATTTTTGGCGCAAAGGTCATTATTATTCAACGAAATTCAAGATATTATTCAGATATAGTACCACGAGAAAGTACACGAGGAAAAAGGAAAAATGACTCGTATCCTACTTGGGTCCGATTCCAATCACCTTGCCGTTGGTGTCCTTCCTTGCTCGAACAGCCCAAAATGCGTTGGGAGGATACTTGGTACTGCTGCCATGACCCTTCCGTTTATACATCCCACTGTGCCAAACATCGATGGAGAAGCACCCCTGGAAGAGTTCGACCTTTTCTCCCTCGTCGTTCAACTTTGTCCAACAGTGTTTCATGTTGAAGAAGCCGCTGGCAGAGTCGATTCCGCAATGGCCGTCCAAAGTCGGTTCCGCGGTGATGCCAGACTGCTCGTCGGGCGGCGAAAGGAAGAGGGCTTTCTGGGAGCTGGTCAAAGGTAGACTGTCGACCTCTTCGATGTTGTCTAGGCCAATATCGAAGGGCATTTCCTCCATCGGGTCATTGAAGCCACGACCGATGAACATACCAGGCTCCGAATGTGGAGATTCTGGAAGCCAAATGCGGTTGGTGTAGTCTTTGTTGCTTTGGACCTTCATGATCTCGGTGTACAACGCGTCGAACTGAGGAGTTTGGGTGCCAAGGGGAAGAAAGGCTTTGGACAAGAAATCGAGCTTCATGGCGTAGAGGTCGAAGCTTCCAGAGAGCTTTGATACTGGAACAACGACCTCGGGAATCTGGATAAAGATCAATGAACAAAGCGAAAAATACGAGCAAAATGACACGTACCTCGTCTTCCGGCTGCTCTTCGCCCTCCGACACCTCTGGTGTGACCACCTTCGACCTTTTCTGAAAGACCGACGTTAAGCAGGTAAAGGTTTTTTCGAATGGTTTACACTCACTGCAGGCTGTTGCTTGGTAACTTTGGCCTTGGCCTTTGTCTTTTTGGGGACCGGTTCTGCCTCGGACTCATCTGCCGAGACCTGTGGGCAATGAGCTCGCGTCGCGAAAACAAGGGACGTGACACTTACCTCCTTTGGTTGCTCCTCGTCCTCAGACTCTGGAGTGGCTGCTTTCTTTGACTTTGCCTGCAGAACAACGATAAACAAACGAAAGTTTTCTCAGCTTCTTCGAATTCACAGCGGGCTTTTCCTTAGTAGCTTTGATCTTTGTCTTGGCCTTTTTCGGGGCTGGCTGTTGGGGCTCTACGTCGGAATCGTCTGCAGGAAGCTGTCGTTTACGGCCAGGCTGAGCTCGCGTCGCGGGCTTGGTCCCTGCTGCACTGCTTGACTTTTTCTGGGTTATAGAGAGTAAGAAAACGGAATTAATAAAGAAAAGAGCGTACGGGAGGCATTTTCGTTGAATTGCTTGTGGGGGTTTTGTTGTAAAAGCACAAGCAAAGTGCGGAGTATAAATACTCTGATTTTGATCACGTGGAGGGTCAAGGTCACAAAAAAGCCAAATTGCTAGCGAACAATGGCGACCAGCGTGGCGCGCTTCTGGGAGATTGTTCTGGACATTGGTCTTGTCCATTGTCCATGTTTAGGCCGCGCTTTGTCCTGATGGATCGCCGATCAAAGGGAAAATGATTGAAAAAAGTTCGGCAACTTCCCTGCGCCTTCCCTCACAACTTCTCGACTAAAAAACGATCTCCTACTTTTAGGAAGAAGCGTAATGGCCACTGTGGGGGTAGAACCCAAGACCTTGGCGTGTAATTTAGGGCTTAACCCCGACATATTAGCACCACGCTCTAACCAACTGAGCTAAGCGGCCATATACTTCGTATTTTTTTAGGACCACACGTCCCGGAAATTGAACTGGTCCATTGCCAGAACTGTAGCTTTGAGCAGCGAGTCGGAAGAGGGTATTGAGACGGTAAAAGGTGACGAAAGGCACAAGAAATTTGAGATTTGATATGATCATTCTTAAACATTATGTACTCCGTCAAAGTGTGGACTGAATGGACACCTGAACGGTAAGTAGTGGCGTCCTGAACGCAGCATCAGCAGATATCTTGCCGAAATCAAATGGACTCGAGCAGTATAAGATGGTCCGAGTACTCATAAGGGGAACCGCCAACACTTTCATCTTCTTCGATCTTGAACATAGTCAACATCGTCGCCAAACCTGATCTAGAGCTATAGGTTTTGCTGGACAATCACTGTGAAGACTGTTGATAGAGATTCGAGATCATTTGGAGACACATACCGACGGCCATAACCAAAGACCATACTCTCGGGATTCAGGACATCTGGATCTAGCTTCTCGTCTTTCAAGAAGCGACCGGGATTGAAGACGCGCGTACGGAAGGATCTGGGAAGACGGTCTCTCGAAGATTAGATTCGCACCGGAGATATCCGGTTGTATTCACTTCATCGAGCAGCGTAGCCCTAGAAGGTTGAGCCAGAAGAAAGCACTTGACGCGAACACACACCACATATCAACCAGAACAGTAGTCTTGGCTGGAATTCGATAGTCTTCATAGATGTCTTCGACATCAATGAAATGTGGGATACCTAGATAAAAGATGAATCCAGTTCAACCTAATAGGACCGATGATACCCTGGGAACAAGCAGTCGTATTCTTGTCAATAAAATGCACCCACCAACTTGTGTCGTATACTCTCGAAGCAAAGCTGTTACAAACGGCAAATATAGTATGTCATCAAAGGCAACCTATTTCCGCCAAGTAAAGCGTCGAGTTCGTCTTGAACTCGTTTCTGAACATCAGGAAATATGAGCATGCTGATGGCGAAGCTGCCAAGTACAGCGATCGTCTGGAGAGATCTAGTTGAATATCGAAGCTATCGACTGACTGTATCAGTGGCACCTGTTGACGTTCAATACATCTCGTGTTTGAGAGGGATAACTAGTCTTCACCACTATTCATAGTTGCGGCCACTAAATGAACTGCTTCCTCTTGGGCGTCAAGGTCTCCGGTGGGATCCATTTGGTCCAGGCTCGACGATGTAATGGAGGAATTCCAGTGTTATCATTCTACAATCAATGGTTCAAGCCTCCGCGGATAGGGAAAGAAGAATCACGTACAATGCTTTGCTGCAGCATAGTAGGGTATATCGTACATTGCACGATAAAGGTACTTTGAGCTTGAATAAGAATTCCCAACGCCATCTCCATGGTGTTTGCAACATTCATACTGTTAGCTCTGTCAGTCCATGGAGAAATAAGTAGGAAGAGATGATGAGTTCTTTGACTGTTGTCTTCAACACTAATTAATGTGTTCTAGGGTCCGCTGAGATATGAAAAATGTGAGTTTATTTGGCACTTGAAAGTACATCTTACTGAGGAATGTCTAGCGGGTCAAGCAGATGTGCTCCGTGCGGCAGAAGGGATGTATGGTCAAAGGTTTGGGGATGCTTGGATGACTGATTCAGATTCGAAAAAGTCGTGAATCGATAGAGATGACAACCTATATTGATATGGAAGAGTCGAGTCCTGGAGCTACATAATATGCTTATCTACACTAGTACTTGGAGAGGTTATCATGGATGGATGCTAACGTTTTTTCTATATATTTTCTAACTCGAAGGCTCCAGATATTTGGCACCCGATATGGTTCGGAGCTGAGACAATACATTCTATTACAGTGACTGGATATGGATAATGACGAAAGATCCATAATGAAGCTGAAAGAAATGGTCAGAGTCAGACGAAGCACAGACGAGAAACAAAAGAAGAAGAACTTTACCAATGAATATCACCTGGTTAAAATTTTATCAAGACAAATTGCAAAACAGAAGCAAAGAAAGAAAGATTACATCGAGGATAAAACCATTTTGTCCGAATTCTTTTCTACTAGTGTACATGCCTAAACGGAAACTCTTTGGACCGTAATCGATCACGAAGAGGACCAAACATCTTGCGTTCAATTTCGACTACTTTCCGGAACTGGGCATGGATGATACGAAGACAATTCTCATCGGTGCCGGTGGGATCGACATTCTGCTTTTCTGCCCGATCGATAACAGGCCACTTTTCCAAAAATGTGTCGACAGAGTCGTAGCTTCCCGGATACAGAAGCAGGATCGCATCATGCATCGCATACTTGTAGTAGCTGTTATGGTATTGAAACACCAACATTTCTGTCTCGAGTTCGTACATCAAGATCTGGACGTGTTCAAACACGAGGCCAAATTTCTCGATCAGATTGATTTCGAAAGTGGACTTCTCGAAAGGACCGACGAGATGGCTGCAAAACTGCCAGTCTCGCCAATCATTGTCCCAGTTGGCGGGCAAAGACATGCTGTCTGGCTTTATCGCGCGGTCGGTAATTTCAAGAAATATTTTCCACTCCTGACCATTGGGATGAGCCGAACCGTAGACGGCGCTGTCAAAGACTCACATTGGAGTACGGAGCAATCAGCTTTGGATCTTCATCGGTGTTCTCAGGGAAAATCGGCCGGGTAGGTTCCGATGAAGAGCTCGAGATCGCCGACTACAGAAAATATGAGGCCAGTCAATGGTGGAAAAACCTGAAAACGCACGGTTGATGGTGAAATTGTAGCTGGTGATCCTGAGTCGGAGGACTGAGGGGTCTGGGTAGGTTCTGATGAAGAGCTTGAGGTCGTCGACTGCAGAAATATGAGGCCAGTCAATGGTGGAAAAACCTGAAAACACACGGTCGATGGTGAAATTGTAGCTGGTGATCCTGAGTAGGAGGACTGAGGGGTCTGGGTAGGTTCTGACGAAGAGCTTGAGGTCGTTGACTGCAGAAAATATGCGGTGTATCCAATGGTGGAAAAGCCTGAAAACGCACAGTTGATGGTGAAATTCTAGCTAACGATCCTGAATCAGAGGGCTGAGGAGTCAAGCATCGGTAAGTAGAGTCATCCAATCAGTGGGATAGTTTCTCACCTCGGTTTTCCGCTGAAAGGAACCCCAATACTCTTGGAGATAACTCAATGCGAGGTTCATGATGGTGGTGCAAACAAGGGTGGAGCTGACGTCATCTATTGGTCTAGACCTTCTCCCGCTGCTTCCTCGACGAAAATAACCTATTCTGCCTGTAGCAAAAGGTTAATGGCCACTGTGGGGTCGAACCGTCGGGAACGAGCTGCGCTAGCTGGGAGGCCGTAGAGCAACTAGAGCGGGCGGCGCGTCGGGAGGAGCGGTGCTTATTATGGGAGCGTCGGGATTTTGAAATGGGTGCGCCATGAGCAGCGTCAGCTGTGAGGGAGGCGGCTCAGGAGAATCGGTCATGGCAGCAGGAGGCAAAGGAAATTTCCCACCGTGACCAAGTCCTAAAACGGCTATGCGCCCCCGCCTCGGGCCAAAAATGGCCAGTAAGAGGGTCAAACTCTGGACCTTGGCGTTATTAGCACCACGCTCTAACCAACTGAGCTAACCGACCAATGAATCGTCATTTCAGAAAAGGGTCCAGAGCATTGGATCGATTTTGTTGCGGAATCCACAATGGAAAATTTGATGTTTACAGCATTCATACTGTAGCTCTGTCAGATCATGAAGAAATAGGTAGACGGGTATCGGAAATACTTGCTAGTGAATCTCGGCCATAACGTCGACTGGTTCACCGCGCGACTCCAAGAGCCGAGGAGGGAAGCGACGACAATGTTCGAGTTGCAACTGATGATGGCGTGAGATCTCCAAAGATCGACATTCTTGGCGGAATAAACGATTACACTCCTTGCTGATATCGACCCAAATACTACAAGGGTGTCGAGGTACAACAGGTTCTAGCATGTTCAAATCACCTGAGCATTGGACTTCAGGCACAAGAGGACTGTCGGATTTTTTTCGTGCTCTCGAAGAACTCTGAAGAGGATCAGAAACCGCTGCGATATATTTGGATGGAGTCACTCACAGTACCGAGCTTCAGTTCGTTCGATTCTTCCAGAACATTTAAAAAAGTACGGTACTGATGGATCTGAATCACTCACATTGCGTTGCGAAGTCGCCGAGGCCTTGGGCTTGCACTCAGGTCGTGGGCTACCTGGGCAACTCGCGGAATACTAGGGATCCGTAGAGAGAATAGAGCTATTTATCTCAATCCTGCATGGCATATCCCTTCCAATGCGTACTCAATCTTCAGGTCCTTCCCAGAACACTTGATCGTACGGTTTGACCGCCCTGCTCGAATGAGTTACTCTACTCGCTCTGTGCCATTTACGGACAAAAAATGCAGTTAAAGTTGACCCTCCCATTTTGCATCGACTCACAGTGACTTTGAGACCTGTCTTGTGAGTTTTTCCAAGAGACACGGGGGACAATCAGCTGTCATCGCCATGGGCCATGGCCAATTGTCGTGCTACAGTCATTGGTCCTGTCATTGGACCAGTCATTTTTCTTTCATTTTACAATCTCTTTGTGTTATTATAGAATATTCCCTTTTTTTACTAAACAAAGGAATTTCCCAAATTGGTACAAAGCGCCCACGCCGGAATCCAGATTCGTCCGGTTGCTGTCTCACTGACTGTGTGCTCACCGTCTCTTGGATTGTATGCTCTTACTCAATATCAGCTATGAAGGAAAGTTCAGTGGGCAAGCGGGATTATGATGTCTATCTTTGCTGGTCTCATGACTCCAAAGGAAAAACTTGACAATCAAAAGATGGACAAATGAAGAAGGGAAACTGGGTGCATCACAGCATAGCAGAGACAGTATAAGGAAGGCCAAAAACTGGAGGAAGAAAAAGTGCTGCCACCAGTAAGATCTCACTGAAATGCTTGCCATTGTTTATTTATCCTTTCACTGTAGGCCCAGGAGCCAGTTTCTGCCCAGGACAGAAACAGCATCCCAGGAAACCCCCATTAACAACACTGTGAATACTGTTAAAGGGGAAACCAGTATGCACCTATTGTTTCAGCCTGTTTGTAACTTGTATTACAAGACTCAGATGATGAGCAGAGTGCAGCAGGAAATGACAGTGTGGGCTCGTTTCTCACTGATGACGAGTATGTTGATGGCGAGGGTGAGGCGGACTTTGAAAGTGACACAGTTGAGAATGACAGAGATGGCAAGTATGAAGCTGGAGTCCGGAGATAGTGATTATTAATCTATGATGTTAGGGATGATAATCACATGGCTGTGTACAAGGTCTCAATGGAAGGCTTGGATGTGCAGAGGCAGGCTTTGAAGGAGGAGATCTCTGGTTTGGAGGATGACTCTATGGAATGAGTTTCTGGTTCTTCTCTATTTTTCCCTGTCTACATTCCTCACATTCTAACATAGTATCACCTTCAATATCAACTTATATTGCACTCCTTATGAATACATTAAAAAGAGCTTTGACATGATTCTCTGGGACATTATAAACACCCAAAGATGAGTCAAGTCTGCAGGACCAGTCTATCGTCTCACCGCTCAACCAAGCCCACCTGAAACCCAGAGCCAAAAGACAAAGGAACAAAAGGATAACCACAGAAGGAAACTGCAGCCTCGGACAAAGAGATCCTAAATGACCATACAATGGCTGGTCCAATATTTATATGATAAGCTATACAGCAAGCGATAGAAAGGAATACTTCGGATATAATGTATATGTCTCGAATGGTGCCAAAGTGGGAGGAGCTAGTAGTACAGTCACAGTGAACGTGAATGGTAACCGGTACAATCCGTCAGGTATAGATACAAAGCGCTGAGTCCAGATACGTGAATGATGGGGACCTCGAGCGCAGGAAGCAAGTACAGTGCGACAACAAATAAAATGCATGGATTGGAGTCAGGGATTGCTTAAATGGTCACCTGATAGTCGGTGAGCTGACTGAAAATTACTGCAGCAAAGGGCGTACTTTGACAAGCGACCATTCAACACCAAGATCGTGGATTCGAGTCCGTAAGGCTTTTTCGCATAATTCGCAATCAATGTGATCCGCAAGCGGAATCAAGGTTGAATTAAGCAGACTTGAGGAAAGATCTGAGGGCACATGACTATCGGTCGCGTCAAATGAAACTTGAAATCACTCACCAGGTCTAGCTTCCCAGGCAAGATAAGCAGCAGCCAGGGCCCAAGCTCTGTTGACTTTCCGTTGTCCTGTAAAATCACAGTCCAAGGTCGGTATATGAGGTTGAGGAGGAACAACTGTAGATTTACTTGAGAAATTGAGTAAAGAAAGAACTTGAGGTACTTACGGAGCGCCCGCTTTAGAGCGTCACACCTTCCCATGTGTAGAAAGAAGAGACGTCTGAGATAACTTGGGGCAATGCCTTCGGCCTGGTCATCAGTCAGACTGGAAAGCTGATATGAAAGAAGATGCGGCGATGTGGAAACAGCCAGGTCGTTAAGGTCGAAACATGAAGCCAGAGCGTAAAGAGCCAAGGGGAAAAGAGGGGCATGTGCCATAAGAGACAAGTAGAGCTTGCTTGTTGGGAGTATTTGATCTATTGGATGCACTCCATAATTCGGTAGGTGGTTGATAGCAGTAGCTGATTTGATTGAGATAAAGGGACCATGAATAACGAGGGTCTTACCGAGGTTTTTGAAACTCGGAGAATAAGAGGCGCATGAGAGGTCGTATATGGCATGAAGAATAATGTTCAGAACTGGAGATGACTCTATGGGGGAGATAAACAACAGCCCAATCGACGTGCTTCATGACGAACCTGGAACAAATACAATACAGCTGTTCTCTACATCGCTGAGCAAAGACATGAAATGGTTGTCTGACGCGGCGAGCAATCGGCTGGAATGGACATAGAAAAAGACGAAATCGCTGGACAAGAGGACCAAGTCTTGGGGAGGAAATTGCTTCGATCCAGGCTGCGTTAATTGCGCTGTAAGATGGAAGGTGGTTGAAACAGAGACAACAATGCTTTCTTCCTCAATCGGCTCATTGCTGGTCGGAGGTGTCCCAGAGTTGGATAACTGAGAAATTTTTGGTCAGTCTATGCAGTCAACTTGGATATAACTCGCAGGTGGTGTCGGCATTTGCTGTATAGATGAAGACCTTTCAGTTTCCACCTGCTCTGACACAAATTGCACCATCGATTCCCAGTCGAATCCCTCCATGACAACTTGCAAAGATTGCAGATGAGCGTCGTCTTATCGAGAGAGGGAAGCGGCAAGCTGCGTGGACGATGGCCAAGGTCCCGAAAGGTGGTGAAGAGACAAAAAACAAATGTGGGAACCGAGCACAACACTGGGCAGCTGTTTTTTTTAGAAGCGATGGGCGGCTCTGATCAGGCTCCTTGGCGATCCGATCAAACTTAACGTAGGACCCGTTAGGTCGGTTGTTTGCGTGTGAGAAACTGACCTAACGGGTCGCGCCGGGGGCAAGGACCAGAGCACTCAAAAACGAGTGCCTTACGAAAGAAAGAAAGAAAGAAAGAGTTACGCGCTGTTACGCGGCTCTAACTACGACAGTTAGGGTCTCACGCACGGCTGCCCGCGGATCATTTTCACGGCCATGAAAATGGCCCGCGATGATGCTTTATCTTGGCGGCCGGGAAAACAAAAAATGTTTGCCGGCCGCGAACATTTGGGCGAAGATTCCCACCGCAAACGTTGGCCGGATCGATTTTGGCCGCACTGTTCACGGCCGGCGAAGATGCTTTTTTTCCCCGGCCACCAAGATAAAGCATTATCGCCGGTCATTTTCACAGCCGTGAAAATGATCCGCGGACCGCCGTGACGTAGTGACATCCTATCCCAGAACCGGAGTATAAGCACTCGCTCCACTTTCCCCAAATTAGACAGAACTCGTGATATTTACTGTATCTCTATAGGCAATGAACTCGCATCACAAATCATGAATCAAATCATTTGAAGCCGGACTGCCGAGACACGTGTCAGAGCAAAGAGCCTCACACAGTGACATAATTCCACGCTGTCGGCAAGCTCGGGGCAATGAAGAGCAGGACCAGGCAGGACCCTCACACGGTGGACAATCAGCTGTCATCAGTGATTGTTAGTCTCGAAACCAGCCGTGATCAGCGGTCGGCTCGCCAAGGCTCGCTATCCGGAGAACCGGATAGATCCGGCGGGGTTTGAAATAAATAGTGGGTTTTGACCGCTGAAACTTTTTTTTTCAGACTCCGCCGGATCAATCCGGATCTCCGGATAGCGAGCGTTAGCGAGCTTCACTGCGACATTCGTCTGGATCCGAGACTAAGTGATTGTCATGCTACTGTCACTAGAGCGTGGGAACATGCTACATTGGATGACGTCAGCTCCCCCTGTCCGCACCACCATCATGAACCTCGCATTGAGTTATCTCCGAGAGTATTGGGGTTCCTTTCAGCCGCAAACAGCGGTGAGGGATTATCCCACTGACCGGATGACTCTACTTACCGATGCTTGACTCCTCAGCCCTCTGATTCAGGATGTTCAGCTACAATTTCACCGTCAACCGTTCGTTTTCAGGCTTTTCCACCATTGACTGCACCTCATATTTT